GAGTGACACCAGACCCAGAAACCAACCCACAGACTCATTCCAAATAACACATAAACCCTAAAATAAGCCAGGTGCAGTTTGACAGCAGTGGCAGCCTGGCGCTGAGGTGCTGGGCGGCATCCTGGGAGGGAGCTGGGGAGACACCACGCTCACGGGTAGGGGTGTGCACTGCCTCTTGAGTAGCCCACAGCAAACTAGAAGCTCGTTTTGCTTTCTTTCCCCCAGTACAGCTAAAATCCTTTCCAGATTTCATTCCGCTGGTGAAAACAGTTACTGATGTCAGTGGTTTGTAAAAGCGATGCAGTGTAAAGCCAGCTTTTGAAAAGCAGCGGGGACCTGCATCGTGATCTGTTTTCGTTTTCACACGGATGGCGTGCTGGCTTTCTTCGAGGTCTGGCTGTGACATATCATCTGGGTATCTTTCTGTATGCACTCGCAGACACACGTGTGCGTGCATGTCTATCCCGTATATTCCGAGAAATGGCCCAGGTCTGTCAGCCTATGTTCAGGGTTATTGGCCTGAACAGTTTTTGGAAGTGGTTCTACGATGGTTCTACAGTGTAGGAAGTTCTGGCCGCTCCCTATCTTTGCCAATACGTGGCATTTTCAATATTTTTGCTCTTAGCCTTCTGATAAGTGTGAAGTGGTATACAATTTGGGTTTTCTTGAAAATGAATGATTGAACACTTTTTCAAATATTTATTGCCCACTTATATTTGTGTGTGTGCATGTGTGTGCGTGCGCGTGTGCAGTACTTGTTTAAGGTTTTGGTCCATTATTCAATTGATTTGTCTTAACGATTTGTAGGAGTTTTATTTTTATAGACTCTGGATGGTAACTCTTTGTTGGTTGTATGTTCCAACCATCCTTTAAGCTTTTAATGAGCCTGGGGATGATATCATAGGTTCATGTAGGAGCTCTGTACCCACAAAACACACAGACACACACACACAGACAGACAGACAGACACACACACACACACACACACACACCATGTGTCGTGCTGATTGTTCTCCAGTGAGCATGCAAACAGAATCCCATGGCAGGGTGAAGCTTGTTACCACCGTCCTTCTTCCAGGTGCTGCTTGTGACTGAACGTGCTTTCTTTTTGACGTGCAGGGTCCTTGTGGGTGCCCCAAAAGCTGATTCCAAGTACAGCACTTCCGTGAAATCCCCTGGGGCTGTGTTTAAGTGCCGAGTCCACACCAACCCTGACCGGAGATGCACTGAACTGGACATGGCTCGAGGTGGGTGGAGCTTTTTCCTGACATCTGTGGGTGGATATCACGACCAAGGTGGACTTGGTTTCTGAGCCCCTCACCCTTTCTTCTTCATACTCCGGTGGCTTCATCATCACTCACCTATCCATCCATCCGTCCGTCCATCCATCCATCCAAAAATATGTATCCAGTACACATTACTTACTAAGTGCTGAGTTACAACAAAACAGACAAGGTTTCTACTATTCTGCATCTCGAATTTTAGTGGATAGGAGAGACATTAAAATATACTATATATACTCGTGTGTAAGCTGAGTTTTTCAGCACATTTTAAATGCATTTTTTGTGGTAAAATTGGGTGACTCGGCCAATATTCGGTCGACTTATACTCGAGTATATACGGTAAGTAATTGAGGGAGAAGAGGCCCAGAGGGGAGGTGGGTGTTAGATCCAATGCAGGATAGAGGGTCAGGAAAGAAGTGACCTTGACACACTCCTGGGCAAGTCGGGAAGCAGCACTTCCAAGCAGAGGAAGTGGTGTGACATTCTGAAGCGTGGAATTCGGACAGTGTAGGTAGAGCAGTGATCAAGGGGAGAGTGGGTGCAGATGCGTGGGCAGAGGCAGACTGGGGCTGATTGTGCAGGGTTTTAGCCGATCAGAGTTAGGTGTTAGGGTTTATCTTCCATACAACGGGAAGACCCTGAAAAACAACTGGAGATCTTGAATTTTAAATAGAAACAGCCACAATCTGGTGATTTTTTTTTAAATTCGCTTTTGCCCGGTTGGAAGTTAATCATTTTATGAATCAAACAGCTCTGCCTGAGTTCAGAGCCTAATTCTTCGAGTTGCTAGTTGGGAGCACAACAGGTTTTACCTAGAGAAGATCGAGTTAATAGAGATAAGTTCAAAAGAGTATGCTTAGCACCCAGTAGGCATTTAGTCCATAGAAGCTATTTTATTAATAATCACTTCAAACCCTCACTTTCTCCATAGTAATTTTTCATCAAGATCTTCTAAAAAAATGTTTTTTTAAATGAGTTGTTACCATGATTTTTTATAGTGGAAAAGGCCAGGGACCCGAGAGAGCTGTTGTCTAATGCTACTCACACCGACTGGTTTGATTAATAAATTCTAACACTTAACACATGCGGAAGCTTGCCTCGGAACCGCAGCCAGGGCCCTGCTTCCTTCACTGAGGAAGTCTTGCTGTGAGAAACTGCTTGAATCAAAGTGGACGGAGGGATGGTGTTGATTCATATTCCTTTGCAGACTTCTTAACTCTTCCTGGGTTGATACAAACCTTCGGGCTCGGGCCACCTCTTGAAAAGCGTTCAGCAAAACGTCGATCCTTCACCCGCGTCCCGTCTTCTCTTTTTCCTCCAGGGAAGAATCGGGGCACCCCCTGTGGAAAGACCTGCCGGGAAGACAGGACCGATGAGTGGATGGGTGTGAGCTTGGCGAGGCAGCCCAAGGCTGATGGCCGAGTGCTGGTAGGTCGTGTGCCGGGGGTCAGCCCGGGGCAGGGGACACTCACAAGGAATGGCTTTGATCCAGTAGGAAGGTCACATGGCACAGAGACAAGGGTGGGATGGAGAGGCTGCCTGTTCTGAGCCTACTCCTTGGACAGATGATTCCTGTTATTATTTTTCATCTGTCAAATGCCAGTAATGTGTGGCCCGGGGCGATGGGATGGGGCTATTGAAACATGACAGATGAAATGTACCAAGGAGCATCAAGCAGTCTGTGGAAGAGTTCTGTGAGCCTTTAATTTTGTGTTACATGCCCTGCTTGCATGTAAAAGGTGCTTTGTAAATCTCACTGATGACATGCATATTTTGGGGGTGGAGTCTTTTTAAACGTGAGGTTAATCTGCACAAAATACACCGATTCTGGAACACAGGGTTGGGTTTTGGTGATTGTTTGCACCCGGGTGAGCAGTGTCCCATCAAGAGCTAGAATACCTCCATCACCCTCCAAGTTCTCCTCAGTCTCTTTCCTGTCAGCATGGCCCCCACGAGCAGCCACTGATTTGTTCTTACCACAGACGACTAAACTTTCTGGAACCTTCTAAAAAGGAATTCTCAAGACTGTTTTGACTCCAAGTTGATGTTTCAGATGAAGTTAACTTGCTCTGGGCCACAAGTAATTCATTTCTCTCCTGTTTACGCTACAGCATTTTGTGAGGTAGATGGAGTCATCTTGAACCAGCCATTTGCCTCCCAAAGTGCATGTGCGACGGGTGCTTGGGGAGAGAGGCCGGGAAAAGCCCAGGAGGATCTCCCATCTTCTCAAGCCGCCCCGCCCACCGGTCTTTCCACTGATTTAAATCGTATCCAATAGATCAAAATGAGAAGAAAGTGGAATGCCCCAGCCACACTGGCCACGTTCCGGGTGCAGCAGCCACCTGGGCCAGCGGCTGTGTGGGGGACCACCGGGAGGCAGAGTCAGTCCGCTGCCACAGAGTGTTACTGGACTCAACCCAAAGTGGAATTTCTAATCGTGCCAGAGGTGTTGTGTTTTTAAAGACGTCGTTGTGGTAGTTGTTGAAGTCGAAAACTAAGGTGCTCCACTCGCCCGCTGTGGGGGGACAGGGCGGTGAAGTTTCTCCTGTGCGTACACTCGTACACTCGTGCAGCCCTGTCCCCTGCACCCGAAGCTTCCCCGTCATCGTGGCGATGACCAGTGCTCGGACTTTGTGGACCTTCTCGTGCCATCCCTCGGCATATGCGTGAAAGCCTGAGCCCGAGAAGGGGCAACGGCCACCGTCAGCCACTTCCTGTGGGCGTCCCTTGGAGGGCTTCGCAGGAGGCTGTGCTGTGACCCAGGGGGCTGTGTGCCTATGAAGTGTGCTCCAGGTTTGCCTTGATCATGCATCTCTGCCAAAATGCTTCCTTCACCCGTCTGAGGAGCCCACGCGGTTGTGAAACCTCTCCATGGCAGACGCTGGTCACCCCCAATCCACCCTTCATTCCTGAGCACACGTTCAGTGTGTCCCAGGGTAGGGGGCGGGGAGCAGGCCAGCCCCGGGGGAGGGGCGGGACAGAGCAGCTGGACGGGGTCTTGCCGACTTACAGACATTGCAGGGCTGCTGCAGGTCTTGTGGAGGTGGCCTCCTCCCACCCTCCGTGCGCCCCGTTTCCGTCCTGGAATCACTGTCACCCGCTCAGCCCTGGCGCCCCTCCAGCTCACTGAATTCCTCCAGATGCGGTGGCCTGACCGTGGCTGGACAGCTGAGTCCCAGGGGGCCAGAACACGCCTGTCCTTCTGCAGAAAGAATGGGGAGAGGCTGACTCACGTCTATAAACCAAAGGATGGTCTGAGGTTGCGATTCAGACCACCCCCCAAAACAAAACAAAACAAAAATGAGGAGACTGTGGCTGGCGGCCACAATCTTCCTAAGAGGCTGGAGTCCTGAAGCAGAGTGGGCTCCCCTCTCCAGGGATGCTGCGGCCAAGAACCTGGCACCAGAGGGCCTGGCAGAGGGTCCCCTGTGCCTGCAGAGGACAGCAGGGAGGGGCAGGAGAGATTTAGCAAAGGGAGCCGACGAGGCCGAGCTGGAACATTGGCGGATGTTGGTGCTGGGGGTAATTTCACTCTAATTAATTCCACACTGAGCTGTTTCCCTCGTGTTTTATGCAATTCCTGAATCGCCGTTTCATAAGGCGCTGCTCTGTGAGTGCTACTGGAAGAGGCGGCACCTCGCAGCACTGAGTCCTGCCTTGCTCTGGACACACGTGCTCTCTTGGTCGGCAAGGTCTGTCTGAATGCCCCTCGGTCACCATCTTCCTCTTCACTCCCTCCCTGCACCCCCAGTTTGGGCTCGGTCATCTTCATGAGGCCCAACCTGATGCCCCTGCCCTGCCCTGCCCTGCCGGGGAAGTACCCAAGGAGCCCAAGAGCACCTTCGTCCACAGGAGGAACCCAACTGACCGTACTTTGTATTGTGCATCTGGTGTATTTTGGGAGGGCGCCCTTTTTTTAATGGAAACCACTTGAGGGCAGAGACCACTGCTGGTGCCTAGGGCGAGCTCCCCAAGGAGTAATGGTCATGGTGGTGGTGGAAGTGGTCGTGGTCACAGTGGTGGTGGTGGTTGTAGTGCTGGTGATGGTGGTAGTGGTGGTGGTGGTGGTGGTGTTCATGGTGATGGTGGTGGTGGTGGTTGTGGTGCTGTTGTTGTTGTTGGTGGTGGTCGTGGTGGTGAGGTATCATTGAGTCGGTTCTGACCCACAGTGACCTCATGCACCATCCTCTGGATTGTTCCTCTGTTGGAGCCCATTTGTCCAGCCACTGCTTCAGTCCATCTGGTGGAGGCCCTCCCCGTTTCCACTGGCCACATTGCTAAGCGCGATGGCCTGCCGTCTCCAGGGACTCTTCTTTCCTCATCACACACGAGAGGACGTTTCCAAGGACCATCTGTCTGTGCTTCTCCCAAGACAGATTTGTTTCTTCTCTGGGCAGCCTGTGGGCAATCTGTCAGCATTCTTTGCTAACAACCAAGAAGTGGAGTAACGTCTGAAAAGGTGTTTGAATAATAAAGGACCGCACTATCAAGGTTAATTCAATTAGAAACTGAACTGGTTGGCATCTTCTCTTGGTTGTTGGTTCAAAGTGTCTGATGGCAGTGACAGCTGGCAATGAGGTCACAAACGTGGCCACCAGGTCTGCATTTTAGCCATGGAGGCTTCTTGTCCGCAATGAGCTTATTCTTTGGTCTCTCCGCAATGAGCTTATTCTTTGGTCTCTCAATTCTCCCTATCAAGAGCTTACTGGGAGGCAAGCACTAACTTGTTCAAATTACAGTAGGCGGTTCTTTGTTTGGCAAACATGTTTTTGAGACCATGGGAGGTGCCTGGGGAGTGTGGCCCCTTAGAACTGTGTCCCCAAGGGTGGCCTTTTAGAAGTCGGTGCTGGGTTTGAAGACGGCAAAGGGAAGGGTCCATGCCTTTTGAAAAATGGCATCGGCGCTGATTCCAAGGGAAGAACAGCTGAGAACATTTGAAAGTTGTGCCAGGAGTGAAGTGTCTCCATGACCAAGGGTATTTCCTGGACAAAGGACACAGCACTCACCTCGGGCAAGGCCCAGGGCATTGGCCGGCCTGGCCAGCAGACATTGACTTAGTATCTGCCAGTCTCAGCTTTTTGCCCATGGTAGTCCTTCCGGCCTTCTCTCAGGAAACGAGGACGCTGGTGTGAACAGACATTGGGAAGGGGGTCAAGCTGAGCTTCCTGAGTTCAGAGCTCGCATTGGGACTTTTTGGAAATGTTCTCACAGCCCCACCCTGTGATTCCAGTGTGAAGATGACATTTTAATACATAGAGGGGGACAAATCACTCCTTACCAAAACCACGGACCAAACCCTGCCTGAGCATGGCCTGCTTCTCTTTGGCCTGAGTGGGCAGCTTCCAACGGTGATGTGCGACCTTCTACTTTTCATCAGTCTCCTGGGCTCAGACCACACAGCCTGCCAGTCTCGAGATGCTGGCTGGACGGAAGCCGTGTTCTCCAGCTCGATCTCCAGGTCACTTCCTGTCTCAGCATCAGGGCTGCCCTTATCTCTCCCCCACTTCCCATCTGCTCCGTTTCGAAGCTGCAGGGCATGTGCTGCCTTTACTGCTGTTACTTGTTTCCTGATCGTTGTTGCTTTAAGGCAACGTTTTACCGAATGATAACGCACACACAACAGTTGTTCACCAGGGACATTCACAGAACAACACCCCAGTGCCCCACATGCTCCCCTTCACGACTCTCTCAGTCCCTACCCCTGTCTTTGGAGGGGGAGCATTCTGGGGGTCTGGGGACATCAAAGTCCTGACATTGGTCAGTCTTGCTCCCAGCCTCCTCCCCATCACCACTGCACTCAGCAGCCAGAGCCTGACCCGGGCTGTGTGGGGTGGTCCTGGAGATGAGATAAAAGCTCTGGCCACGTGTACCTGGGGAGAGCCAGGGTGCCGCCTCTGTGGTCCAGCCTGCAGGAGGGGCTCAGGACCCACCCCCGCCCTCCCCAGGAAGGATGTGCTGTGTCTGAACCACAGAAAAAGCCCTTTGAAATGAAGTGTTGCGTTTTCTTCCTCTTTTTTCTTTCTTTCATCTTTTCAGTGGTAAAGCAATTCATAACCTGTAACGTACCAGCTTCTCAGACTGGGGCAATGCTACATCCTCTTCCTTAGAGCTGCCTATGAGTAGGTCTTGCTACTTTAAAAGGTTGCTCCCCATTTTCTGTCTGTCTTCCCAGCTCTGCCCATGGGTTTTTTCTTGCAACAACTCATTTGGAGACATGGATGGAGTCCTTAGTGCTTGGAGACAGTCCTTAGGACTCTTGATTTTTACCCAGTGAATGTGTGTGTGTGTGTATCGTGATCACTGGGGCTACGTACGGCCCTTTCTGTCAGTTATATTCAGGACACTGTTCCTTGTTTCCCATTCGGCTCCTGCCTCTGGCACTTTGGTCCCTGACATCACAGAACCCTGTCGGTTCAGCTTAGCATGAATTGCAGTCTGGATGTTGTAGGAATTCTCCGAGATTGCTCCTTAAACAGTTTATGGCACTTAATAAAATTGGGAGACAATAAATTAGACGTGAAATGCAGCGAATCCTGCCTTATGGGCTCCTCGCATGCATCTGACTGTCAGAGACGCCGCTTTTGTAAACATCCGCCTCTTGTTAGTGTCTCCAACACAGGAATACAGCAGAACGTGGGAGGCCCTACCAGCCAGCAGCTTGGCTGCATCCACAAAACCAAACCCATTGTCCTTGGGTCGGCTCTGACTCAGAGCAACTTTGCAGGACAGAAGAGAGCTGCCGCAGTCCCCCCCTTCCCCCGGCCCTGCTCCCCAAGGGACCCATGGCTGAGATCCTGACGGAGTAGACAGTCACACCTTTCTCCCACGGTGCGGCTGGTGGGTTTGAACTGCTGTTCTTTCGGTAACAGCTGAGTGCTCACCCACAGAGCCTCCAGCCTTCCTTGAATCCATAGACTAGAGCATAATGCATTGACCCCCCAGCCAGGTAATATTATGTGGTTACAGTGTGTAAGCCCTCAGAATTGAGGCAGACCTGAATGGTTTTAAGAGTAGCAGTAGCAGTATGGAGTGATTCGGGTTCCTGGGTGGCGCCAACATTTCCCCAGGGGCTGTTAGCCCAGAGGTAGGTGGTCTGCACCCTCCCACCAGCAGCAGCATGGAAGAAAGGGCTGGCAACCTACCCGCATAAAGATTACCGTCAAGAAACCCCCGGGGGAGCCATTCTACTCTCTCACACTGGCTTGTCATAAGGCAGAATGGGTTAGATGACAGCCGTGTTTGTTTGTTTGTTTGTTTGAATGGACTGGTTATCTACTTAGTAAGATATTGTAATAGGTTCTGCCCTCCCCAACTTTCTGCATTTCAATTGATTGTGAAAGATGCTGTTTGGGCACACAACCATCCCTGGGTGGAGATGCAAAGGTGGCTCTCAGTATAAAGTACCCCCCCCCCCCACTGTTTTAGGCAGTTGACTGTTGTCACAGGGGAAGAGGCAGAGTGTGTGTATTCTCAGGTGTTGAGGGCCACTCTCGGGGGTCCCCTTTTGTTGGGAGGTGTGGGCACTGATTGCATCGCAGTGACATCAGGGATAGTGGGCGCTGGAGAGCTCTTCCCTCACTGGAGACCCCTGGGTGCTCTCTTTGCCCCCAGAGTGATTATTTCAGGGGTCCTGGGACCTCTGGGAAGGACTGGAGGGGCAGTGAACAGTCCAGACCTACCTCAGGTGGTGGGTTTCGATGACTTCTCAGGAGGGGCTTGGAAGTTGTAAGATGTCTCTAAAGAGACAATTCTCAGACCCCGTGAAACCCCATTGGCTGTAATAATGGGCTCTCCAGCATAGCACTTGCACCCTCTGATTCTCAGCCCCTTTCTGGAAAGTGAGTTCTAAGGGCAGGCCCCCATGCTTCAGGGTTGCCTCGTAGGTCTAGGTTCGTTGGTGAAACGTAGCCCACAAAGACACACCAAAGACGCACACTGACTTCAGGGAGTGGTGACTGAGATCGTCAGAAACCTTCCAACAATGTAACCGCCAATGCCATTGAACAAGCTGTTAAATGAAAACCTACTCTGTTATGTAAAGTTTCACTAAAAGCACAATAGAATTTCATTAAAAAAAAAAAAAGGTTTTGAGCTGCCATCTAAGATACAACTATTGATCTCTGGTCTGGAGCAATGGAGAGTGAAGGAAATTAAAGATGTCAGGAAGCAGGGAATACAAAGGACTCAGGAGCCATGCATCCTACCTGGAGACCAGTAAAACTAGATGGTGGCCCGCTACCACCAGTATCCACTTCAATCAGGATCGCACTGGACAGAGGGGGGCAAAAGGTAGAAGGAAATAAAGAAACACAGACCAGACTTACTGGTCTGATAGAGACCAAGTGGACCTCCTCAGACTGTCACCCTTAGACACCCTCAAGCCTGGAACTGTGGGCCCACCACCTGGGAACCAACTTCCAGAACAATCACAGAACAATCGATGGGACTATAAAGCGGACCCTGTTAACACCCTCTAGGAAAGTCCTGCTCAGTACAATCAACCACACAAGATCAAAAGGGCAGCAGTTGCTTCCAAATGAAGCCCAAAAGGCCAGCAGGATCAGGAAAGAGACTAACGGCTAGGAAGGGATCGTGCTGAAGGGATCGTAGCTAATGTCACGAAATAAAATCCATAGACATTGTCAAATGGAAAGCATTTGTTTTGTAAACCTTCACCTAAGGCCCTTCTCCTCTGGAGTGCGGGGGTGGGTACAAGCTGCCGGTCTTTAGCCACCAGGGCTTCCTGGCCTATCATTATCTAGAAGGAAATGTTGATGATGGTTTTTCTTTTCATATTTACATATGTCAAACTACGCACATCTCAAAGAATACCCATTGTGTTTGGCCGGGTTGACTAGAGAAACAAATCCAGCGGCACTCACATATGTGTAAGAAAGAGCTTTCTATCAAGAAGTAATTATACATCTAGAAAACATCACAGCCTAGTACAACTCAAGCCCGCAAGTCTGATACTAGTCTGTCTGTAAGTCCCTCTTCTGACTCACAGAGTCACACGCAATGATGCAGACGCAGGAAGATCACCGGCTTGGCCTGGGGGCCCAGGTGCATGTTGGGTGATTGTTCTGCACTCCTCCCTTTCCCGTCTCCTATCCTTTCTACCTCCAGTGAGCATCCTGAAGTCCCCTTTCTTGTATCTCCACCACACTCCTCCGGTCCAGGCGAGCAGCATCTCTTGCCTTGACTCTCCTTTCCACCCCTGTCTACCTGTAGTCCCCACCCAACAGTTGAGTTCATTTCCCAAACTGGTCATCAGATCTTGCCACACATCTGCTTAAGGCTCGCCACTAGCTTCCTTCTGCAGGTACCCTAAGTTGACAGTTTATCCTATGTATGGCTCACAGGGTCCCCCAGGGCCTCACCTCTGCTGACCTCACCTCTCTGACCTCACCCCCCTTTGCTACTACCATGTTCATGCCAGCTCAGGTGCTCGCAATTCTTTTGACCCTGCTAATCTTTCACTGGAGCCCCCTGTAACCGAGAACCTCCCTCCCTGAGGGCTCAGGATGGCTGGCTCATTCTCTTCCCCTGATCTCCGGATAAAAACTATCCGTCCTGCTCCCAGATCCTCTCTTCCACGGAGCCAATGCCAACTCATAGTGACCCTATAGGGCAGGATACAACTGTCCCAGCGAGTTTCTGAGACCATAACTTCACAGGATACAAAGCCCTGTCATTCTCCCAAGGAGGGGCTGGTGGTTTTGAACTGTGGACCTTGTAGATTGCAGCCCAACTCATAACCACTATGCCACCAGGACTGTTTTTAATGGTCTGTCTCCTCCTGGTCACATCAAAGCTATATGAGGACATGAGCTTGCTGTTCAGTAATTTTCCGATGCTCAGGGCAGCCCTGGTGTGCACTTGGCTGGGAGGGAGAGGGCGTGGGCCCCTGGCCCTCTGCTGTTGCTCCTCCTACAGAACAGCTTGGCACTACCAGGTCTGCTTTGCTGCCTCTTTGGGCCATCTTTCCTGGTCTGAAACCCTGTCTGTCCCTTCAGGCCTGTGCCCATCGCTGGAAGAACATCTACTACGAAACCGACCACATTCTGCCACATGGCTTCTGCTACATCATCCCGTCCAACCTCCAGACCAAAGGCAGGACACTGATCCCCTGCTACGAAGGTGAGTGCTGATGGATCCTCCCACCTACACCTCTCTCTAAACCAATGTTTCCCAAAGGAAGCAAGTGCAACTACCTCCTTGGGGTGCTGGGACAATTGAGGGGAGGGGGGCGGCTGCCAAAGCAGATACCTACACTTTATCCAGGATTATGGGCTGTAATACAAAGCAGATACTTATACTTTATCCTGGATCATGGGTTGTAATACAAAGTTTTTAGCTACTAGAGCTGGCATTGAATACCCCCCCCCCCACACACACACACACATACACACAAACCCCGGAAAAGGGCAGTAGGCCAAATAAGTTTGGGGTAATATATGTCTTGCATGATCCTGAGCCCCCTCCTCCCCCCACCTTTCTCTGCAACTTCATCTCTAACCAGTGGCTAGCACTGCTCCCCAATGGCCTTTGGAAGAGGCAGTGCCACTTGGTACCTGAGGTCCTGCTTGGGCAGTGAGGAAGGCGGGAAGGGGACCGAGGTTCTCGGCCCTGCCCAGCTCGCCCTGCTGCATCACAGATCCACCATCAGTTCCTATCAGTCTCCATGCAGCCTCCATGACCAGAATTCAGACTGTCAACCAACGACCAAACAAAACCCTTAGTTTCAGACCCGCCAGGGACCTTGGGGGAAAATCCCACATCCTCTCTGGACTTCAGGGAGAAAGAATTTTCCTCTGAAAATCCACTGGTGGGGCCAGCTGGTTTCTCTCATCTCCTTCAGCCCCAGAGGATCGTAGGCACCTGCATAGCTCCTGACTGCCCTGCGGGCATGTGCCCTGCGGCTGCGGGAAGAGGTGACCCAGGAATCATAGCACAGGGGCAGCCAGCTAGACAGAAACGAACCCAAACCATTCAGTGTTCGTCGCACCCCAAGTCTGGCTTTCCTTCTCAGAATCCTGAGGGGTGCCTGGAGACGGGGCAGTGTGTTTGCGTTTTTGAGAGCTCCCCAGGGGGCTCTGAGTCCCGGAAGGTATGTGTTTTCTCAGGCTCCCTGCTTAGAACCATCCAAGGCCCGGGCACTGAGGACAGTTGCGTCTACCCTGATTAGTCCGGCCAACTGAGAGCGTAAAGGACCAGAAAATGCTACTGCTTTCTCCTGCTTGATAGCTTATGCTTCCTGGTTTGCTCAGCCTAATTCTGAGTCAGCAGGAAACTGGCTCCAAATTGCTGGGCTGTTGACATTCTGCTCTCTCCTACATCGTGTATTTGCATTGACATCTCTGTTGGCGTCATGCCCACTTTTCCTCGGGGCCTCGCTGGGTTTTCTTAGGTTTCAAAT